CTCTCAAAAAGTATATAAAAATTTGGATATAGATTTATCGGCCAACATATCGGTTATCGGCTTTCAAAAATAAAGACTTGACGGTTATCGGTATCGGCCAAAATGTTCATTTCGGTGCATCCCTATATATAAGGCAATATATATTGTCAAAAATATGATTTACTGTGACCGAATTTTTACAGTGCAACAATAAATCCATACAAGTACCATCTTTTGGTGGTTACCATGGTGACTTTTATGATGGTCAAGCCGTCCCTTACCAGTTTTTATCAAGTAGCTCATACTGTAAATCTTCAGACATGCATTTAACAGAACAGCGCGCTATCATTGCAGGTAAAGTTGTGCTAACTCGTCAGATTAACAAAAGATAATTATGAATCAAGATACAATATAGTCAATCCATTATTTCATTCAGTCAACTTACTGGATGATGCTGAGTGCCTTCACCTTCCCACGTTAGATGAACAGATGATGTTTGCGATGTATTTCCTCAAGTTTAAATCAGATGCACTTCATGAAGATGTGCTTTAATATGAGCAGAACCGCAGAGGAACTGAAGCGAGATGAACTGAGATGAACAGTAAATATCGAGGCGATGTCAGTCAATATAACGATGCAGTTTGTCAGAAGTCGCCAAAGTTATTTCTGCTGATGGTCATATATCATCTGCTCGAGCTGTTAGTTTGGACATCCATAGAGAACTTCCATCCCATCAGCTCTTTCCCCCGCACCTGCAGGAGAACTGGACTGCTCTGCTGCGCTCCCTCAGGAAAGTGAAGCGCCTCACGCGTGATTCAGGAATCAGATGATAGATGGAGAGTTCAGTCTCATCACACATGCGGTTACAGAGCCTTGTTCAGATCGGCACACACTACCATATTACTCCTAATAGGAATGCAGTTTACAGTATTGGTGTCCGACTCGCAAACGAATGATCTTTTGAACCGTTTTTTCTGTGATTTGGTCGAACCGATTCGCGCAGCATTTGTGAATGACTCGACAGATGAGTAACACTAGAAGACGCTGGATTCGTTAAGACAATAACGTAATCGGAAACAAAGTGATTAACAAATGTGTTTGATTCAAACTTGTACTGCAATATGACACGTTAAATTACTTCTAGCAACTCTTCGTCAAACGAGTCAGTGAATCAGATCATTTAAACAGACCGCCCGAACGAACCGATTCATTAGCCCTCAGTGCTCGTGCTTGAGTTCTGAACATGCTGAAACAAGATATTGTATCTTATATTTATAGAATCAGTGTTAAACAGAAATAATGTTGCAGCACTTTCTGATAACATGCAGAAACACTGTTGGCGCCTCCCTGTGGTGATATGAATAAAATGTTGGTATATTAGGATCAGTCATTAAATGTAAAAAAACCCCCAAAAAAACACTGATATAGATATCTGATACATTAAGATTCATAATAAATTCTGAAGGTAATGGTTAAAGAAATAAGAAAAGAAACAACAACACAGATATTAAATTGCATTAAAAACATAGATAATAAATAACTATTTTATGTTATGATTATAATAATTTCATTTATTACAACAAAGCAACATTTAGTTTTTATTGGTCATTACGTTTGGGTTGGCACATTCCTGTTCTTGTAAGACATGATGGCCAATCAAAAAGAAATAAAGAAATAACAATAAGACATAATGTTTTATTATATAATGTTATATAATATAATGTTAAACAAATTTGATGAACAAAAATTCATGTTCACAAAAACCAATTCATGCAAGCATAAAATAATACTTCCACAAAATATGTTTCACAAATGCAAAACACTACTCTTCTTCTTCTTCTTCTTCTTCTTCTTCTTCTTAATATATATCTAAATATCAACATTTGTGAGATATAGTAAAACTAGTCATTCAAAACAGTTTTTACATGAATTGATCTAATTTGGTCTCTGGAAAATAGTGATTTGTGGCATTATATTATATTGAATATTTTTATTTATTTATTATTGGATAGAGTTTTTTAGTTTTTTTTTTTTAAATCAAATGTAAATTCCTGTCCCAATCACATTTTCTTCATTAAATACAAATTACTTACATTACCACAAAAAAAAAAATATATATATATTTTTACATTAACAATGTAATAATTATTCTGTTTATTTATTGGTCTCTGGAAAATAGTGATTTGTGGCATTATATTATATTGAATATTTTTATTTATTTATTATTGGATAGAGTTTTTTCGTTTTTTTTTTTTTAATCAAATGTAAATTCCTGTCCCAATCACATTTTCTTCATTAAATGCAAATTACTTACATTACCACAAAAAAAAAAAAAAATATATATTTTTACATTAACAATGTAATAAGTATTCTGTTTATTTAAAGCCAAGTATGAATCTAATCAAGTTAGTGTTTTTAAGCATTTTATATTTATTCCAAAATAGTAACTCAAGGCAGTAACAATTTAAACAATATATTTTATTTGTGAACTTATGTTTAGCTATTCTTTTTAATAGTTAACTTTTAACTATTTTGGAATTATTCGGTTCATCAGTCATCAAAGCTCGGTGAATATTGGTTACAGACACAGAAATTTACTTTAAATTTGAATAAGCTGATTGCTCACTAAAAACTCCCACAGATCATGTTTTCAGACCATTTTAAGTCTTATTTTGACATAACAAAGTGGTTATATCTAAGTATGTGAGTTGTTTACTTACTTTTTAAAATGAGTCTTCCCATTAATGCCATTTTGTTCATTCAGACTGATTCACGAAAGCGGAACGCGCATGAACACAAGAGGCGGGATTTATCACATGAACCAATCACAGACGAACATAACCAGTCAGATCCAATCATATCGCGATGGAGGCACTGTTTCCCCTATTCATCCTCAATTACCCTCCCAACCAAACCCACTGCATGCTTTATGGGGTCTGTTAAAACTCAATGGGCTCAAGGGAGACTACTAGGCAGACTTTTGCTCTGAAGTGGAGTCTGTATCATCGATAGGCCTGTATCGTACAAACCCTATATACCGCCCAGCCCTCCTTGAAATTGTATGTTACTGCTATTCTGGCACATCATGATGCAGTGGACGGAAAATCTTTGGGAAAGCGTGACCAGATCATCAGGTTCCTGAGAGGTGCGAGTAGAGTAAATGCCCCTAGGTCGCACCTCATGCCCTCTTGGGTTCCATCTGTGGTTCTTGCTAGTCCACGGAGAGCCTCCTTTGAGCTTAAGATCTTGTAGACTCCTGGTCGCGCTCACATCCATCAAGAGTGTGAGGTGAGCCGTGCCCCCTGAGGGTAAGAGCTCACTACACTCGGAGTATTGCCTCCTCTGTGGCGTTGGCACATGGTGCCTCTCTAGCAAGCATCTGCAGAGCTGCGGGTTGGGCGAGATTCTATAATCTCCAGGGTGGAACTGGTTTCCTCCCATGTGTTGGGTATGACAAGATAATTTGCTGGAGGACTGGCTCTGTGTCTCGCTTGTGGCATCATTCCTCTGGCTAGGATACATGCGCCTTATCTTCTTCCAGTTAGTTCCCCGTCTGGTGGACTCTGGTCGAGCTCCTCCAGAACCATGTGGCGTTCAGACTCAGTGGAAGAGTTAGTTGCCGGGTCCAGTACCTGTGTTGTAAGCAATTAGTCTCCCCCTGTACTGGACTAGGTGCTCATACATGAGATGGGTAATCCTGTATGTTCTCTCCACAGAACAGTTTCCCTTGTGTTACGTCTATAACATGATGCGTTATATGTTGGTTCTGTTGTTGTTGTCTCCTTTTCCTCATTTAGGATTGGTCCTGGACATAATGCAAGGCTGTTGGTGGTTGGACCGGAGAAGAGACCCGGACTATAAATTTCCCAGTATTCCACTTGAGGGAGCTCTCTGCCTCTTTGATTGATTGCTCATGACTATTTGTTGTGATACTGTGTTAGCTGGTGAATATGTGGTGCGACAGATTGTGATTTCTGCTCCAACAGAGTGCTGTTAGCCACCCTTGATATTGTGTGAGCCTTACTTCTAGAACATCAATGTCCTGCTGACCATGTTTGTAACTTCTTAACTGTTTTGGGAAGTCGTAGGGGGTGAGTGCCTTGTTTTTTAGTTTGAAACATGTGTGTGTGTGTGTGTGTGTGTGAGTGTGTGTGTGTGTGTGTCAGGAGAAAAAGCCTCATTCACACAAGATTAAAAAAGGCCCACACGTTTTACATAAACCCAACATTTATAAGATATTATTGATTGAAATTTGTCAACAGGAAATTCTCTTTAAAATATTTTAAATCTTTACAAATCTTCATCTATAAAGCTTCATCCATTACCTTTAACCATCCTCCTAGATATCAGCCACAGAGAAACTAAACATGGGTAAAAAGCTATATGAACGAACAAATATATAAAGAAAGTGGGGATGTAACGATTATCGGTTTGACGATAAATCATGATAAAATTCCCCACGGTTAGTATTACCGTTTCATCTTTTAATTATC